ATCTGGCTGGATTGCCCCAGCCACTCTGGGCAGGCTCCAACATATATAAAAACATAATAAAACATTAAACTTCCCTATACAGGGCTGCCTTCAGATATCTTCTAAAGGTTGTCTAGTTACTTGTCTCCTTGGCTTGGGGGTTGTTGTTGCATAACTCCATAGCTTCCCACATTTCTCCCATAAAAATAGGGCTGTCCTATTCTGTTGTTGTTGTTGTTGTTGTTACACTCTGCACATCTGACTGGGTTGCCCCAGCCACTGGGCAGCTTCCAACATATATAAAACATAATAAAACATCCAGCATATCCCCGATGAAAATAGAGACGTCCTATTCTATTATTATTATTCTCCGCACATCTGAATGGGTTGCCCCAGCCACTGGGCAGCTTCCAACATATATAAAAACATAATAAAACATTCAACCTTTAAAAACTTCCCCATCCAAGGCTGCCTTCAGATGTCTTCCAAAGGTTGTCTAGTTACTCATTTCCTTGGCTCAGGAGTCACAAAATTCCATAGCCTCCAACATTTTCCCGATATAGATAGGGTCATCCTATTCTATGATGATGATGATGATGATGAGGAGGAGGAGGCATCTGATCAAGGCCTGTATTTTAAAATGAGCTTAAATATATATTTGCAAATGTTTGTATGTTTCATGCCAGGCAGAAACCAGCTGGCTAAGTACTTTGGCAGTTGTTTATCTTCCTGCTCTCCTGAACAAGGGCCCCCCTGATTTATAGCAGTAGCAGGAGACAAGTTTCTCAAAGTTGTAAAAGGAAATTACAGGCTGGGAGCAAATGTTACACTGTCCCTACATATTACAGAATACAATCAAGCTGCAAAAACACTAATTAAGAGTTGGTAAATAGTAAGATTTATTGTTTAACAGAAAATAATACCATGTGCCTCCCATCAAACTCTAGCCATATTTTCCTAAGGTTTAAGGTATACTGAGAGAGTTAAAGGGCAATAAATTTTGGGAAGAGCTAATGGGAAAAGCAGCTGGCTGGGAAATGAGGGTGTAAACTGAAGAGGCTTCTTTTGAAGCTGTTTTTACTGAGTTCCTTTTTTACTTTGCAAAGGCCTTTTCTTCTAAAAAGCTATCTATGTTATGTATGAGATTTGTTGGCTTAATGTAATTATGCAAAGGATTTAGAAAGTAAGAAATGTTAGATTCTTATGTTAGATTCTTATTTCATTGATGGTGTGTGAGAATGTGAACCCAAGATCTCTGTTTAGATAGAATTTAATACCATGAGCCACTTGTTTTAGCCATTTGTTTTGGAATGCAGGGGCAACAGGGGCAAAAGGTGATCTGGTAATTAAGGTGCCTTGTCGAGGCAAATGTAAGATATATGGCTAATTGTCTGCCATTTATGGATAGAAGGAAATATAGCTCTTTGTCTCCCATAAAAGGTAATAGGAAATGGGTGTATCTTTTATGATTGGTTCTAGCAAACAGCCAATAGGAATTTCAACCAGGCTGATTGGACAGAGGCAGCCATAGGAGGAGCAAGGGGGCTGGGCTGAGGAAATATAAGTGCTGGCCATCAGGGCTGGAGGGGGGCAGAGCTTTGGTAACCATATACCACTGTGCCTGTCATTTATTTGTCTGACAAATAAATTATTATTTTAATTTCTCTATTGCTGCGTTGAATATTTCATTCCAGCTAAGCGTTAACCACGAGCAGGGTGCTACAATTATTTTCCACACATCTGACTGGGTTGCCCCAGCCACACTGGGCAGCTTCCAACATATATAAAAACATGATAGAATTTTAAACATTAAACTTCTCTATCCTAAGCTGCCTTCAGATGTCTTCCAAAGGTTGCCCAGTTACTCATCTCCTTGGCTTGGCGGTCACGTAACTCCATAGCCTGCGACATTTCCCCAATGAAAACAGGGACATCTGAAGCATGGGTGTCCCCTAAATCAATACAAATCAATACAAATCTGAGGTTCTGCCCCTCCCCAACAAAAGCCAGCCACCCCCAACAAAAATCTTGGCTCCGCCCATGGTACTAAGGAAATGTGGGACATCCCAGGATCCAATTAGAAACTGGGGCAGTTTCTCTAAATCCAGGGCTGTCTCTGGAAAATAGGGGCACTTGGAGGGTCTGGGATCTGTAGCTTTTACCAGAGGCCCAAAGGGTAGGGGTGGCAGGGGGCAGTTGCCCTCCCAATCAAGTAAATAAATTTAAAAATACTTAACTAAAAGTAAAACTACAAAAATAAAACTTAAAGATAACTCTTTTGGGGGAGGTGTTATTGGGTTGTTGTTTTTATTTTAATTATATATATTGTGGTTTTTATGTTAATCTTTTCTGTGAACAGCCCTGAGACCTCCGGGCAGAATATAAATTCAAATTAATAATAATAATAATCAGAATATTTGAAATTGAAATGTGCTACGCTTACTGAGTGTGCCCAGAAAAACTGCATTGGGAAAAAAGGAGGAATTTGAGAAGGAAGTGCTGACAAGGTTTTCAGCAGATCCAAGGAAACTTGCTTTAGATAAAAAGGTTCTTTGCGATTTTGCAAAATATACCCATTAACAGCATGAACGGTACTCCCCGGTGTTAATCTTTTTTATTTAACTTCCTGGTTTTCAAACGGCTGAAGGTTTTGACAGATTTTTCTGAGTGCTTAGGGGAGCCTTCGGATTTCTCCGTTAACAGGGTCAAAAGAAAGCAATTTAAAACCACCGTTGTTTTAAACGTATCGCCTAAAACAGTGGATTCGGAGAGAGAAGGCTTGTCTAATATTGCAGTTTTGCATTGAGGTTTGTTCTCTTTTCCCAATTGGAAAAATGTAAGGACTTGATACAGTTTTGCCATGTGACTATCACAGCTCAAGGCCTAGACAGAAGAAAGGTTGTGCGTGCTTATGGAAATCATCCAGGTACTTTTCATTTTCTCATTTATCTCTGTCTTTTCCCTCATGTTATAGCTAGAAGCTTAATTGAGCAGGATTTCTTGCCCCACAGTTACATGGTGTAGAAAAATTACTGCTCATTTCTATTTGTTGAATGATTTGCCTTTGTAGTGATTTAAATCCCAGTCCATAAACAGCCTTAAAAATATACATGTCTATGAGCTTCAGAACATAGGTAGACCACATTTCCCAAGTGAATGTGCAACCATTTCTGTGATTTCCCCCCCCTATTCCACCTGCATTACAAGCCAGGATCAGGACCAAGGTATGTAGCACTGAGCAAAGGGGAAAGCGGCCTCTTTCTAGCTGAAAAACCAGATACCTCTCGGGGCACCTCTCAGACTTTATTGTCTCTTTGCCAGATGTCAGAGTCAGAACTTGTGAACAAAATCTCTCTGAAGCAGGGTCACCGGAGTTCATAATCTCTGTGAGGCTTCTTGTCAATTTCAAAGGCTTGTGCCTGGGCTGCTCGCCTTTCTAGGGGCTCATTGTGACAATGAATGGTATACCATGGCAGTTATGGCCACAAAAAACCCTTTTAATTAAGTGAAATCGGAAGCTGCTCTTTAAGTATATGTTCTTGCTTGATCTACTTCTGGGGCAGCTGAAGTTCCGACTGCATCAGAAACTGCACAACTTACAGCCAGCTGGAGCCTACTTGATGTTAGGAACTAAATTAACCTTTTAGGAATAAGACTTGGTCTAAGGGTCACTAGAACGAAGTTCAAGAGATACAGTGCAGAATGAATATCTGAATGTAATGGATTTAAAATCTTTGCATTATTTAAACTTGTTTTCTTTGGAGATCAAAGGTAAAAATCCCCCCAAAAGAGGACATTGTGGGGGGCAGGCTTTTGTTAGCGGGGTGCAGAACCTCAGTTAACGGAGTATTTTTAATGCTTTTCAATAATTTTCGAGGATTGGCTATGCCCATGGGTTGGCCAGCCACCTGTCAGAGATGCTTTAGTTAAGAGTCATACATTGCAGGGGGTTGGACTAGATGACCGATGACCCTCGGGGTCCCAACTCTACTACTCTATGCACAGAAAGCATTACATGTCGGTCTGTGCCAAGAAGCAGCAGCAACTAAACCACACAGAGCAAGGCTGCAGACATGTGCTCAGTAAGCGGGCACAGATCCCTGCAACTGACTTAGCCCGGAGTCCCCATGGGCCATATTTCGGTTGGTGTATTTCAAACAGTGAATATCCAGACAGATAAGCTATTTTTTGGCATAGCTGTTGAACTTCTCTTTGCAAAATAAAAATAGAAAAAAGAGTTTTGACATATATCTGGATTTTGCTGGACATTTAAGCGATTTCCACCCAGATGCTGTTTGCGATGGCAGAATACCGCCTATGCCCGGGAATTTCCGGATGTATGTATGTCAACCCTAAGTAATGCAACCAGGGAACAGAACTGGATAAATTGCATGAAAATGACAGTTGTGGATTGGAAATAGGCAAATGATTCCATCTCATGAGTTTTTTGGGGGCAAAAAAACCAGGCTTTCCATATTTCGTAAAATTCCTGAATCAAATCTGTTTGAGGTTTGTTTTTGTGTTTTTTTAGGAAGACCACAAAATTGTTGAGCGTTTTTTAAATAGAAAACCCACCAAAATGGTTGATTGTTTCTTTTGGGGAACAAGCCCAAATGGTTGGGTTTTTTGGGAGGGAGAAACTTCCTTCCAAAAGAGTGATCTTTGCCATACCTCCTTCTTTCCCGGCCCAAATCCCCCCCCCCCCGATCCTCAGAAAACAGAGATTTTCCTGACTCGTGGCAAGCCTGCTTTTGAAGTTCTTTCCCTGAGAACGCCCGGATTTCCCCGGACCCCTGCTACTAGATGCAGCTGTGCCGTGTCCGGGATATACCGGACGCGTGGCAGCGCCCGGCGAGAGGGGCGTCGCCTTCCCTAGCGTCACCTGCGGGGACGAGGAAAGCTCCTGTTGCTCGCCTCGCCGCCGATTGGACGCGGCTCCGCCGGGTCCGCGGGCGGGGTGCCCTGCCGGCCAATCGCCGCCGTCGGAATGTCTTTTTGGGGGCGTGGCAGATCCTCTCCCCCTCCGCAGCCTCCTGGCCGGCGCGCAGATGGCTCTGGGCGGCGCGATGCTGCGGACGACGCTCCGCCTGTGCACTCTGTCGCGACGCGTCCGCTCGGCCTCCGCCGCTTCCAGCGCCTCCATGTCGACGCTGCTGATCAGCCAAGGCCGCTACTCGTGGCTCCAGGAGCTGGGGCTTCGCGAGGAGAACGAGGGCGTCTACAATGGCTCCTGGGGAGGCCGAGGAGAGGTAGGCAGTCACGGGAGGGAGCAAGCATGAAAGTCACCGCAGCCAAATTTGGAGCGAGCCACGGATTTGCAGTTCTCCATGTGCTCCCGAGCATAGACATTTGACTTTAGCAGGGTTTCTCGAAACAGCTTTATTCCTATTATTTCTTTAATTTATATACATTGCAACCAACGCCTGATTTATGTATAAGCTAAAAAAGCTATAGCTTAGGGCCCCACTCTCTTGGGGGCCCCAAAAGAATTTAAAGGAAAAAAATTAATATTAATATACTTGGTTGTATTTCAGTCCAACAATTACTTTGATAAAATACATGTTTTGCTATGTGTAAGTGGTTTTAGATACCTATTAGGTCCATAAACTACCATATAACATGTATTCAACACAAAAAGCAGCAACAATTTGTTGTTGACAAAGGGCAGCTGGACATATAAAGGGCTCCATTACCTTCAGTAGCTTGGGGTCTCATCAAACCTAAATCCGGCCCTGATTGCAACAATGATTTAGCCATCATTGTAACATTATCATGCTAAAATAATTTCAAAATTATTAGAATGTATAAAATTGAAAATCACGAATTTAAAAAATCCTCTCTTCTCATATCTAATATATTTTCAAAACTGCAGGCTTTTACGATGACCCTGCCAACGTCTTGATCTGTTTGCAGCTTGTTATTATTTCAACCTTTAAAAATAATTTTCATTTATATACATTGCAACAATTATTTAGCTATAATTGTAACATTTTTACTTTCGACTCCCTTCCCCCTCTTTCTGCAGTCCCTTGCGTTTATTTTCATCCTTTCCTGCATGCTCCGAATTGTCTTATTCTTTTAATCCTCTCTTCTCATATCTATCTTATATATGTTTTCAAAACTGCAGGTTTTTATGATAATCCTGCTAATGTCTTGATCTGTTTGCAGCTCCCTCTCTATACTACAATTCCCATCATCCCTAACCTCTGGTCCTACTAGCTTGGCATGATGGGAGTTGTAGTCATCAAAAAGCAGCCGACTTTGGGAAACCCCGCTTTAGACGAAAGCTGAAAAGACAGTGAAGATTAGCTGGAAGCGAAATACAGTGATTTATTGTGGTTAATTAACATGGGAGCGTTGGTAGCAAGTTAGCCCACGCTGGGGCATGTCTAACATGCCCCTGCGGTGCGATTTATATTTGAAAAAGCCTTCATCCCGAGGCAGCACAATGGTGCCACAATTGCATTTCCCGATAAATTGCAATTTCTGAAGTTCTGCGATGGCCAAGTCCGGCTACAACCAGGTTGCTTTCGGAAGTCGAAATGTCCTCAGGTTTATGATGTGGGATTTGTGCCCGTTCATAGTCTGTGGGAAAGGAGCCTGCCTTTTAATGTGTAACCTTTCGGTGGTTTTGAAACACCCTTGATTTTGTCTATCTTTTAACAAATATGTTGCCCTTTACCAGTTGCCACAGTCCGTTTCCTGGCCAGAATCAGCAGGAGAAAGGGACACGTTAATCATTCATATTGTTGGGCTGAGAAAATGTTTGTCCTTTGGCTGTGCTCCTACCTTTGGGCCTTCTCTTTCTGGAGATGTTTGGGTACCCTACTTGGGGGACTCCCAAAGGCATCTAGCCTGGTCACTGTAGGTGGATGCTGGTTGAGAGGGAAGAATTCCAGACCTAGTAGGCCTTCCTTACTTATTTATCATCCATATGTATAGCCCGCTCTTTAATAATATCAAGATACTATAATATCCAGAATATCAAACCATAAGAACAGCAAGAGCTGTTCAACAGTGGAATTTGCTGCCAAGGAGTGTGGTGGAGTCTCCTTCTTTGGAGGTCTTTAAGCAGAGGCTTGACAACCATATGTCAGGAGTGCTCTGATGGTGTTTCCTGCTTGGCAGGGGGTTGGACTCGATGGCCCTTGTGGTCTCTTCCAACTCTAGGATTCTAAGAATACGGAAACATGCTACTTAGGGCTCTTGCCTGGTCTCTTGGGCAGAGTAGGAACTGCTTCTGGATCACCAAGCAAGAAAAAATCTATAATTGGCTGCTAACTCTTGTGTACATCTGCATAATAATAATAATAATAATAATAATAATAATAATAATAATAATAATTTATATCCCACCCATCTGACTGGGTGGGCAGCTCCCAACAGAATATTAAAAATACAATAAAATATCAGACATTAAAAACTTCCCTAAACAGGGCTGCCTTCAAATGTCTTCTAAAAGTTGTGTAATTCTTGAAATCCAAAGGGCGGGCACCGCTATAGTGGTACCTCAGGTTACATACACTTCAGGTTACATATGCTTCAGGTTACAGACTCTGCTAACCCAGAAATAGTGCTTCAGGTTAAGAACTTTGCTTCAGGATGAGAACAGAAATTGTGCAGCAGTGGCAGCAGGAGGCCCCATTAGCTAAAGTGGTGCTTCAGGTTAAGAACAGTTTCAGGTTAAGAACGGACCTCCAGAACGAATTAAGTTCTTAACCCGAGGTACCACTGTACTTAGAAGTGAATCCCATTGAATTCGGCCTTAAATGCACTCGGGAGAAGAAATATAATTGCCTCAATCTAGGGACGGGCAGCAGAAGGCTGCATGTTTTGTGCGATGGTCCCATCTCTCCCCAGAGCAAGGCCGCTTCATAGGAATCCAAACTCAGGATCTGTGTATCCTCATGGGTTTTCCCCACAACGGTACTGCTCAGTGTGCCCAAAGCCTGCTTTGGTGTGCAGATTGTGGTTCTCGTTCCGCTGCAGATCAGGGTGAGTGTATTCAGATTGAGATATAGGACCATCCATACTATGTCCTTTCCCGATGTAGAAGTGACTCTTGAACCTTAATCCTTAAAGCTAGAGAAGAAGCTATGTTCTTGGTGACTAAAGAGGATTGGCACATCTTTCTCTCTTTAGGTCGTGACGACATACTGCCCTGCAAACAATCAGCCAATTGCCAGAGTTCGTCAGGTAAGGTTCTTTCTTTCTCTCTCTGATCAATTCTATAGATAAATGCTGCACTGGAAAGTTTTGCAATACTCTTCGAATAGCCAAAGGCTAGGTTTGGAATGTCAATAGAGCTAATTGGGGAGGGGCTGTGGAAAAGTAGCTGAGAGCAGTGGAAGATGGAAATTTTATGGTTGTACGCTCCCTTCCTTTGCTGGATTTAAATCACATGTGTTGAAATGGTGGTTGCGCCACAGAAATGGGTTCGTGGCATATTTCCTCTTTTATTCTACCACTTCAGGCAAACTATTTCCAAAGGTTCTGAAGCTTTTTATGTTCAAATAGCACCACCTTCTTCCATAGAATTAGAATTTGCTGGTTGGGTACATTCTTTTTCCATTGGTGTTTTCTACAAGGGTCAAAAAATTACAAACGTTGTGACTCTTCTTTATTTAAAAAAAAAAATTGTTACAGGCCAGTATCGAAGACTATGAAGAAACACTAAAGAAAGCTAAAGAAGCCTGGAAAGTATGGGCAGAGGTAAGTTCGAATTCCTTAATATTTTTCTGAAATACAGACAGCCTCACGTTTACACAGGGGTTATGTTCAGAAGCACCTCGCAGGTTGGTGAAATTGTGTGTAATTGAAAGCCATTGAAAAAGCCTGCAAACGATGACCCCCGTTCTGCCCCTTTAGTGACAACGACGATGATGACAACAACAACGACGACAATTTATTATTTATACCCCACCCACCTGACTGGATTTCCCCAGCCACTCTGGGCGGCTCCCAACAGCATATTAAAAAACACAATAAAACATCAGACATTAAAAACTTCCCTAAACAGGGTTGCCTTCAGATGTCTTCTAAAAGTCAGATAGTTGTTTATTTCCTTGACATCTGATGGGAGGGCGTTCCACAGGGCGGGTGCCACCACCAAGAAGGCCCTCTGCCTGGTTTCCTGATGTTTCCAAGTCACTTCTGGGTTCAGCACGGTGCACTTACACACAGTTGTGCGTGCATTGAATATGTGTAAACGGGGGACATTCTTTGATGAGCCACAGACTCGTTAAATTCATTTTTATTAAGCAACGCCGTTAGATTCTGATCTGTTTGCCTTAATTTGTGTGAGTCCTCTTTCTGATGCTTTACGCCTTGTGCTACCACTGTAAGCAGTTGCTATTAGAGTTGTGCTTTACAGGTGGCAGTTTGTGTGGTAGATCTGTGACTTCATTAGTACTAGAAAACTCAACGGCAACACCAAGATTTCAAAGATGCGGGTCATAGAAAGGGAAGCCACAACTTTTGAAGAACTAAAGATGCACTTTGGCACACTTGCATTTTTGAAAAACATCTGCATCTCTTGACAGATTTATTTGAATTGTCTTATGAATTATCACATACACACACACAGAAATGGGAAGTGTCTAGAAGCATCTGTAGCTTTCGAAATACCAAATAAATTTTTCTTCTGATTTCCCTGGATTCAGACAAGTTGTGTCACTCAAGAAATCGTCCACAATATATTTTTTTTAACTGATAGGATAAGTTACCTTGATACTTTCAATGCTGTTAATAGAGATCGCCTCATCTGGATGCACATTATTCTAATGTATGCTTTTGGACATAGTCCACAGTGTTTCGTAAGACTGGGCTTAAACCCGTTTTTCTCTTCTTCGTCTAGGTTCCTGCACCCAAACGAGGAGAAATTGTGAGACAGATTGGTGATGCCCTGAGAAAGAAAATCAATGTTTTGGGAAATCTGGTACGGTTTGCTGCTGCGACAGTAATCGCTCTGGCTGAAAGTTTTGGAACCATGTCTAAAATATAGCCACGTCTGTAAAATAAGAAATGATACAGTTTCGCTTGTGCAAATACTGTGGGGTTGCAAACCCCGGCAATCGGCAGCTGAGCGTATGTGCTTGCAAAGTGCAGAGCTCTGCATTGCCCTCACAATTTGATTCCAAACTGCGTGGGCCAAAATGGACAACCCGGCGCCATTTTTACAGCCGGTGATTGACTGCCCGCCTGTCAGACTTCGACACATGGGAACTGAGGGGATGGGGATCCAGCCCACTGGTCGGTGCAGTTCCTTGCCTCTGATTTATATAGCGCTTAGTAGAATATTTCCTATTCAGTGATTGAACAGGACCAACATATTTCCTTAATACTGTCAGGTTTCTTTGGAGATGGGGAAGATCTCTGCTGAGAGTGTTGGCGAAGTCCAAGAATATGTGGATGTCTGCGACTATGCAGTTGGCTTATCCCGGATGATTGGTGGACCTGTATTGCCTTCGGAAAGTAAGCATGTATCTTTCCTTTTTTTCTTTCTGAATACATAGGTAAAGGGGCCCCTGACCATTAGGTCCAGTTGTGGCCGACTCTAGGGTTGCGGCTCTCATCTCGCTTTATTGGCCGAGGGAGCCGGCGTACAGCTTCCGGGTCATATGGCCAGCATGACTAAGCCGCTTCTGGCGAACCAGAGCAGCGCACGGAAACGCCATTTACCTTCCCACCGGAGTGGTACCTATTTATCTACTTGCACTTGACGTGCTTTCGAACTGCTAGGTTGGCAGGAGCAGGGACCAAGCAACGGGAGCTCACCTTGTTGCAGGGATTCAAACCGCCGACCTTCTGATCGGCAAGTCCTAGGCTCTGTGGTTTAACCCACAGTGCCACCCACGTCCCTCTCTGAATACATACTGGGTGCTATTAAGTAACCCAGGGCAGGAAAATCTCAGCGCTGTCAACTTTGCAGCTGCATTTCATGACTGTTGTCTTGAGCATGCCTGCACAGTGAAGAAAGTTTGTATTTTCTTGTACAGTGGTACCTCAGGTTAAGTACTTAATTTGTTCTGGAGGTCCGTTCTTAACCTGAAACTGTTCTTAACCTGAAGCACCACCTTAGCTAATGGGGCCTCCTGGTGCCGCCGCACAATTTCTGTTCTCATCCTGAAGCAATATTCTTACCTGAAGCACTATTTCTGGGTTAGTGGAGTCTGTAACCTGAAGCGTATGTAACCTGAGGTACCACTGTATTATCCTCCAAGGAGCAGGTAGAGCGATGCCTTCATTGGTTCCAGTGGAATAAGTTATCATCCCTGTGGATCACCTTGTATAACTTCTCAAAATGCACAAATAAATGGGATGCAAGCGTGAGATTCTCCTTGCCAAACCTTGCTTCCCCCTCAGAATACAAAACTAGGAAGAAATAAGCTCTTCTGGCAGGATTGCAGCCTTGAGATAACAACAGATATAACTTTCATTGCATGGCTAACGGTTGGGTGTGGACTTTTCAGTTACTCGCCTAGTAGCGCTCCAATTTTCAGTGAGCTGAGGTGGGAGGTTTTAACCCTTCTCTTGCGTTGGGAGAATGAAGGATCACACCTCCACTTCCCCATGTACTGTGGTCCTAGTGAAAATCCATGCAGCTGGCATTATGTTTTTTTCCCCAAGTGGCAACAGGTAAATAGGTTGAAATGGATGTATTGAATAGTATTTGTGAAATATGCGGCATTTATGGGTAACACTGGAAACCATGGAAGGGAAGTCCACGGGTGAAGAAATTTATGGGGTTTTTTTGTTTTTGTGAAAAATCAATAAATAAGATTGTGGCATTTGCCTCCTATGTGAGTCATAAGGAAAGGGTTAAATGAGTGTGATGTGATTGGCCAGAGAGAAACTGATAGGAGGAGTTAGAGTGAGAGTCGGAGTGTGTGGAAGTCAGTTGAGAGTTGAAGAAGGAAGAGGGAGGATAAGTCTGTGGGTTGGTGGAGTTGTGTGGTGAGAGAGTGAGAGGAACTGTTAGGTGGAGTCCGATAGATAGTTGGGATAATCAGTTTGAAGTTGTTAGGAACATATGGTACAGTAAAGGAACTAAGATTAAGAAACTGCTAAGAAAAATTAACTGAAACCATAAGCTTGTTCATGCCTATAAATAAACTTGATTATTTGTTAATGTTAACAACTGTTTGGACTCCGTGAGTACCCGTGAGAAATGGGTTGGTGGCAGCGAAGAAAGCAATTACAGTGGTGGCACAGGGTCAATAGACCGTCAAACGTCCGGGGGCCCTGTGTGATTGCCACAAACATTTACAAAAAATATGATTTTTTTCAAGCAGGTAGCCGTATACAGTTAAAGTACTTTTATATCTTAAAAAAGAGATCTTATTTCAGATTATATAAAAGATGCCTGTAAGCACTTTTTGGCTCAAAAAGTAACGAAATCGTCCAGTAACTGGTGACCTCTTAACTTAGAACAGGTGTTGCACCTTTTGGGTATATTTCATGGCTGTTGGAAAGCTGTACACCATGCTTGAAAAGACCACTAAATTGGGAGCAACCGTTGAATTAGGCACCCGTCGTGCTGGTTTGCGCTCAGGGCTGAAACCTGGTTGAATGCACTCAAACCATGGTTTTTGAGGCTGGCTTGTTAAGCTAAGCAGAGTCTGTTGAACCAGCGCCTATGTTTTGAACACAGCAATAAGCTCGAGATTATTTTAAAAGCGGAACTTTACCAAGTCAGTCGTCCTCTGAAGTATGCTGGAGGAGAAAGGGAGGGAGCCCGACTTCACTCAAGGTGGTTTTGGCCTTATCCGCTTGTGGAGCTCATCCTATGCAAACAGAGCTATTTTGTGCTTTGATGCGAAGGGCTCTGCCGTCCGATTATTTACTAAAATAAGCTCGGTGCCTAAAAAAACTATCACAATAAGCTTTACGACACAGTGTGCTTGTGGGGATGGAATTTGGCTAATTCTTGTGTACACTGAGTTCCTTGGATAACGAGAAGGATAAATAGAATAAATGAAATCCTATGCTCATCAAATGTCCTCTGCTTGGCCTTTTTATTTGCAGGGCCTGGGCATGCCTTAATAGAACAATGGAATCCTTTGGGATTAGTAGGAATCATCACAGCTTTCAACTTTCCTGTAGCAGTTTATGGCTGGAACAACGCAATTGCAATGGTCTGTGGCAACGTCTGCCTCTGGTAAGTCGATCTGTCCTCCTTTATGGTGACTGTTTTAACTGGTGGCCTCTAATTTAACAATGGGCGCCGCGCCGTTTGAGTATATTTCATGGTTGTTGGAAAGCTGTGCACCGCAGATGCAGAAACTGGGCGTTGATGGATTCCAACTCCCATGAGCTCAGTCAACACGGCCAAAGGTTGAGGATGATGGGAGTTGTAGTCTAGCAACTGGCCACCTCATGAGAAGAGAAGACTCCCTGGAAAAGACCCTGATGTTGGGAAAGATGGAGGGCACAAGGAGAAGGGGACAACAGAGGACGAGATGGTTGGATAGTGTTCTCGAAGCTACCAGCATGAGTTTGACCAAACTGCGGGAGGCAGTGGAAGATGGTAGTGCCTGGCATGTTCTGGTCCATGGGGTCATGAAGAGTCAGACACGACTAAACAACAACAACAAAAACGTCTGAATGGCCACAAGTTCCCCGACCTAAGTATTTATTCCCTACACAACAGTTCTCTGGAATGTAGTTAAAGCAGCGACTGTTTCCATTTCTTTATTGAATCTCTGTTCAGCAGCTAAGATAGTCACCTAGAACTACTGAGTCATACTTTTACAATGGAAAGATTATGATGCTTATTTGGTTAGGTACCCTGGCTATTGGACACTTGGGACCAAGTGAAGATGCCGGACATCTCCACCCTCTGCTTGGAGATCATTAGATCTGGACTGTTCTCACACACTAGCAACACATTCTGTAGAATTCTATCTGTTATATTTTATCTGCACAATCGGAATGAATTTCAGGAACCAAAATGCTTTTTCTGTGCAGCCTGAGCAGGAGCAGTGAATGAGATTATAGTTAATTGTTCTAGCTTATTTTAACTTATCCCACCTCACTGCTGTGTTCGCAGTTGGGAAGAATTTTCTTGTATTATGAATGGTCCGTGTCACTGCTAAGAAAGAGGTCGGAACAGGCTAATATATAGTTGGACTGTCCCTGGATCAAGTGACTTTTTTCCTTAAGTTCTTGAAGTTCTTAAACTAGCTGAAGGTTGTCATCTGAACCAGCCAGATGCTTAACTGAGAATCAATCACAGTCAGTCCATCGTTTGAAAAACAAGACTTTAGAGTCATCTTGCCCTGAAATGGCAACAATACATTCCATTTTGGCAACTGTAACCTTGGTTTAAGGAGACATTTGGCATGTAGCTTATACATCTTGAGTTTCTAACTCTGTACCCAAGTTTTAAGTAACCAAACATTGGTGGCCTGTTACTTCAAAGTTGCATGTTGTTTGGAGTTTTCTCATTTTAGCACCTGTTAAAATGGAAAGATGAAAACCTGGTAATCTACTGATTTAGGTAATTTTAGGTGTTCTGATGTAGCAGTTTCTTAAAATATCATGCAATGTTCATTTTAAATAAGCAGTTGGGAAGAATAATCTTTCCTGGTTTGTTTCCCTCCAAAGGAAAGGTGCTCCCACAACGTCGCTCGTTAGTGTCGCTGTTACAAAGTGAGTTTTCACTTATCTTTGTTGCTAGAACCTCTGTGCTTCCTTTCTGTCTCCTGTTCATTCTTCTGCATTGTTTTAAGAAGCTGGCTGAGTGCCGCCTTCGCTGCAGCTTGCATTCTGGGCTTCTCTGGTAGCGTCTGAAATGAGAGGTCTGTGTCAGCCTCCCTACTTTGGTTTCATTAGGGAGGGATGTGGATAATAATAATAATAATTTATTATTTATACCCCACCCATCTGGCTGGGTTTCCCCAGCCACCCTGGGTGGCTTCCAACAGAATATTAAAAACATGATAAAACATCAAACATTAAAAACTTCCCGAAACAGGGCTGCCTTCAGATGTCTTCTAAAAGTCAGAGAGTTGTTTATTTCCTTGACATCTGACGGGAGGGCGTTCCACAGGGCGGGTGCCACTACTGAGAAGGCCCTCTGCCTGGTGCCCTGTAACTTCACTTCTCACGGTGAAGAAACTGCCAGAAGGCCCTGGCAGCTGGATCTCAGTGTCCAGGCATAATGATGGGGGTGGAGACGCTCCTTCAGGTCTACTGGGCCGAGGCCATTTAGGGCTTTAAAGGTCGGGACCAACACTTTGAATTGTGCTCGGAAATTTACTGGGAGCCAATGCATGTCTCTCAGGACTGGTGTTATATGGTCCTGGCGGGCACTGCAAGGTCATGTATGAGCTGCCTCTTCTCCACATAGTTCCACATTTTGGGTGGTTTCTACAAATCCTCCAGAACAGATTTAGGGGGTGAATGTTGGGGAAGGAGTGGAAAGTCCTGTTGACCAAGCCGAAGTTGTTCTGTGCATGCTTTCAGCTAGCTCTCCGTTGAATACGACCTTTTCGTCTGTGCGTTTGGCAAGGTGATGAAAAGTCAAGTCTCACTATGTCCTGCACATGTAATCCTTTTGCCAATGAACCATCAGGACATCTAATGAATCTTCTTTCTTTGTTTCCTAGAATAGTTGCCCAGGTTCTGGAGGACAACAAATTGCCTGGTGCTATCTGCTCTCTGGTCTGTGGTGGGGCAGATATTGGGTAGGTGCAACATTTGGTATTTTTGTGCACAATTTGGGAAGATAGTCTGGTGGATCTTGATTAATCTCTTAACGGTCCTTTTAATCTACAGCTGCAAATGTTTCCTACTCTATTGACTCATTGCATCAGAACAACAACGAGGCTTTGCTTAAACTGTGATCTCCTTCCGGAGGCGGCGCGTTCAGCAATGGCGGTCCTCTTCAGCTGCTGAAGAGGAGCTCCGCGGAAAAGGGTCGTGCGCTGCGGCACAGCGACGACCCACCAAGAGAAACCACGGGTAGAGTGAGCCCGTGGCCGTGGGGTTCGGCGGGCACCAGAAGCGACCTCCGAAACGCAGAAGAGACCCCGTAAGGGGCCTTGGAACGTGGAGGGGGTAGCGGTGCTGTGAATCCATCGCTCTTTCCGCGGAAGCGAAGCCGCGCGGCTGCTGCTGATCGGCGCTGACCTTTCTTCTTTGAACAACAGA